ACTTTATAATATACATTTTTATTGCATTGTCTACCATTCAGTTGTGACCTAACGTGATCTTATATCATATTCTAACAGAATCGACCTAACAAACTTAGAAGAATTAAGGATGTATGGTCCTGATTAAGTACATACTTTTTAAAAGGGTAAGAGAGAACAGCACAACACACTTAAAATTAGACTGTGATGCCTGAAAAACAGAAGTTGTATGTTTATTAGCAGACAAAGCACAAGACCAGAAGCACAGAGACTAAGTATACTTTCTTTCAAATATACTTAATCAGTTCTTTGTGAGATAGTCCTTCTTAAAAACAATTTGGAAAGACCATTTTGCATTAATCTGACAGATTTCTGTTGTGGACTCACAATTGAAACATGAACGGACTAAACTAGACTTATTTGGCTATTTGCCTATTTTAGAGAGACATCAAAACAATAAATTCTCAATCACTGCAGTTTAGACTCGACTTAAAATTGAGAAAAGTAACAACCATTTGATTTAGTAATCGTATGAATTATCAGTTTGCTATTCAACAATCTGAATTCATGCTAAAACTACGTAATAAAATTTAAGTCAAAACATATTTATAGTATTTCTCACACTCCAGTTCCCCTGAAATCACATTGAATGGAACACCTACTAGTGGAATTTGACACCAATTAAACTGGTAAAATAAAAGGTCTCCCTTTTTTGTTCTCCCCTGCAAAAGACAAAAGGAATATTATGTCTATTTTGCATGCATCTGATATCTACTAGTCAGGGACTGGTAATTCTTACCAGCTCCTCCATATGAATCCTATCTAGCATGCCGTATAATTAATTTGTTTACTTGTTTAATTTTAGTTAGAGGCTAGCTCATGAGCTGATTTTTTTCTCTGGTTTTAATCGCTTTTACTCTATCTAGCAAATACAGTGCAGCTGGTTAAAATTGCTAAGACCTGGCTAATTCTATTATTCCAAAGCCAAAAATGAGCTTTTCTTTCTTACTACATACAAGTTTCACAACTTGCATCCTCCTTTCCAGAATGCTTCAGCAAACACGAGAGACAAACAGAAATCAGGGCTGGCCTCAGAATCACCCAGAGACCCTGCCTGGGACCTCAGGGGCTCCTTCGCTGTGCCAAGATGACAGACACCAGCTGGTGTAAAGCGACTGGAGCACACCAAGTCTGCAACCTCCAGCTACCACAGACCCGAGTGGTGACACACAGCAACCCTAAACAGTAGGGCCTGTAGCACCTGTGTTTCATCACAGGGTCAAGAGCATCCCCACACCACAGCAGAAACTGCCTTCCCAGATGGGAAAAATGGGGCTTGATAAGTACAGGAACCAGGACTAAGGGAAGAGTTGTGGGCACAAGGCTCCATGTATATGTGTTTTTTCTTATGGCACTTGCAACCAGTATCCCATTCTCGCAGTCAGGCTATTGTTGACCATCTCTAACAGTGGGAAAAATTCAAGAGTTTTAGCATAAAGAAAGCTGTCACCTATCCAAGTACCATATCTCTTTACCAGTACTGTCACAATTTTAAAAATACAGTAAACAAAGGAACAGGAGTAACTTTACTTTACTCAGCTTTTGAAAATGAATCCCTGGTTTGATAGATGTACCAGCAAGAAGGTGTCTTTTTTTTCTTATGGCCTTTGACTCATCTGGAATTATGTACTTCTATGTACTTCTGGAAGTACATAAAAATGTGGGTTTTATCAAAAGCAGACAAAACTAGGATAAAGAAGTCCAGAGCTATCTACTGGAGTTGAAGTATCTGTGTTGAAGAGCAGAATCCATGCTGTTCTTTCATGAACACTGATCTATTCACTTTCTCAAATACAGTTCCACAGTCTCAGAGACTGGCATCAACAGGCATCGTAAAAGACTTTCTAAGGTTTTAAATAGTCCCCCCAGCATAAATCGTTGCCCACCAGCAGTTAATGCTATGGTTCTTCACTTTATCACGTTCTCATAAAAATAAATACCTCTTTCAATTAAAAAGATTTTTCCCTTCTTTTTGAAATTATTAAATTTGAGTTAGAGGGGCAAGTGTTTGCTTAGTTTTAAATGCAGACCTAAATTCTTGAGTGAGTTTAGGTTCGTGTAGAAATAACTACAGAAATGGTGGGTTTAGCTGTGAGAACATTTCATGCTTTAAGCCTCAAGCAGCAAGTTTATTGTTAGTTCTGCGACCGCATCCTCCAATTCAGCAGTTCAAACTCCTGCTTTCTGTCACAAAGATTTCTGCTACTGAGGATACATCCATCCTTGGTAATCACATACAAAATACTTATAAAATAATCTTAAATATATGACTTGCAGGTATTAAATTCTTTTCATCCTGACCAGTTATCCAAGACTCATGATTAGAAAAATCTTACATATTCTGGAAGTGAAAATACTGCTATTTATGAAATTCAAGTTCTAATTTTCTATTTCAACATCAGTGAAGCTAGAGATTATTTTATTAAACTATTCGTATGTTAAGCTTAGTGAGCATTCACATAGTACTTAATGGATCATGTATATATAAGCAAACAGAAATCTGACATTGATGGTACCTACATAGTTTCTTATCAGTTTAAATAAACACCTGAAGTCTTATTCCAATTCATACTGTTTCTTATCATATTCACTGATCGAAGTTTGGCTTAGGCTTTAAACATTTCAGAGTACGGTCAAGAGTCCTGGGTACATAACACAAAAGTCAAATTGTACTCCAATCCTCCATGGATTCTTTGTGTATGTTGAAATCTAACTAAATTAAAATTTGTTTAGAAATCTGAATCATAAATAATCAGTTGTTTTAAAAGATTAAAGAAAAAAATCAAGCTATCTTCCATTTAATAATGCTACCTGCAAAGCCAAGAATGAAAGCTAAGCTTCTTGCTTAGACTGGTTTTATTTAAAAGTAGTGGGAGTTTACTACGTATTGTTTATGAAGATTTTCCTCCCTGGTTTACAGGAGGACCATAGAATTATACAGTAAAATTGAGTACTTTGAAACAAATTAAAACAAAAACTTGTGCTTTTCAGGAGGGGGTTTTGGTAATAAAATTTGTCAGTGAAGAGTTCCTAAGAGCCTCTCAAAAGTCAGATACAAAGGAAACTGACTTCCATTGAAAAACTTTATGTTATAAAGAGTTAAGCTAAATGGTTCCTCTGAAACTCAGAGAGACAAAAAAAGCTGGAATTAGTATAATTTTGAGGTAATCTTTAAAATATTAGATTCTAACTGTACTTTGGAATAGGTTTAGAGTGTTATAAAACATTATACTAGAAACAGCCTTGGTCAAATTGTTTTCCTGTTCTGGTACAATCAGTATTTGTGCCAGTCTGATAGAGGGAAAAAAGAAAAGCACTCAACAGGAGTGAAGTCACACTAGGGAAATTATATAATGTACAAAAAAGACACAAAGAGTTCTGGCCTGTATAAGTCAACCAGCAGCTTTAGTCCAATCTAGAAACAAGAAGCATTTGTACAAGCATCTTGGTAAAAAAGTTACAAGCTTTTTGTTAAATACATGCATTATAGACATTCTGTATGACTGCTTTTATTTGCTTATTCTTCAGTTCTCTGCAAGCATTAACAATCATTTACGATCTATCCAAGCTCTCCCTACAACACTTCCTTTCTGCTACTTGTCTGAACACTGCTTTGTTTCAAAACATCTCTACAAAACTTAGAGAAACAACATAAGATGTCACAATAGCTTAGTAATCCAATTGTACAGTACTTTGAAATATTCTAGCCCTGTTACAGAATAAGATCTACACGATTAAAAACTAAGTAACAACAACTAGCCATGAATAAAAGTCAGTTTATCACTGTTCAAAAACCAACCAGTGCCCACCCTAAGGTAACTTTTAAAATAAATATCTGATGCAGAGTCAGTAATCTAGCCAATGTATTACCAGAAAGCAGTGACACCACTTGCTATATTGCATACAAACCCATGGGCTTTTAAGTAGTTGAAGATTTTCAACAGAATTCAAGATATTTATTATCATTAATCTCACTGTTCTATCATGGATGAGTAATAAATATTAATATGATTATTCTGTTTTCATAGTGGGTACTAGTTCTACTAGTTGATGCTCTTTATCAAATACTTTTGAATATGAGGATTTGTGATGGTCTAAATAGAGCATCCCACTGCAGGTGGTGGGCTTTTTTCCCCGTTTCCCTTTTAAGTCTTCTGGTTTGTATCCCTTCAGTTTAGACAGCACCGCCAGGAAGCCTTTCAAAAATAATTCACCATTTAAGAAAGCAGTGCAACGACTGTCAGCCAGATACACTTCATGTAATGCATCTCCCATTTGCATCAAAATTTCTTAGATTAACAGTGTACTACAGAAAAAAAAATCTGCCAGGGAAAAAAATTAACTTTAGTACATGTACAAGAAATCGCTGACAAAGCTTCTCTATCAACATAAGCTAAGGCTCTATCGGTTACTGTAGAAAGCAACAAAAAACAGCTGAATCAGCAGCTACAAGCACTGGATAACAGGATCAGTTATATTGGTGCTGTAGTGGTAAACTACAACGCTAAAGTTTGAGAGAGAAATATCGAAGTATTTTAATAAACCTGGAAAACAGTCAATAAAATCTACCCTAAAAATGCAGATTTTAACACCTGTACTCCAATTAAAAGGAACAAAAATTAGAGGTTTTATCAATTTTCTCTTATTTACTCCTTCTGTTGTTCCTCTGAAATACAGAAGTATTACTGGCAATGTATGCATCTGAGTACCAAAATAAAGAACTCTCTCTGGAATAGTACAGAATACTTTTCAAACGCCTGTATTCATGGTTGAAGTATCTTAAATCTTAGATTAAGAACAAAGAAGTAAAATTTTAACAGGCTCAACTAATAATTTGATTGGAGCCCTCTTAACGGCATACAACATCAAAATTAATTTTGTGTTTCTCCCCGACATAACTTGCACTTTAAACATTGCTGTAGTTTTAAATACATCACACATAGGAAGAAACGCACACTTACCAAGTGAACATAAGGCACAAAGTATCCAAAAAGTGCAGCTGGAATACCAAAAGCCCAAATTCGGTAACTGAGAACTTTGAAAACGGAGAAATTGCAAATATTTTTTCCAGGAGGAAATCTGAACTTGCCCTTCTTTCCTCCCTCCTTGTCTTTGGCATTGCAAACAAGGGGTTTGTACGTAAAGCCAGCCAGGAACAGAATAAATATAAGGATGGACAGGACCCGCAAGGTGTTGTATAGGCCAACAGAATAGAGCAAAACTCTCAAGAGGAAAGGCAGTGACACAGTGAACAAGCTGCTGCCTGCAGTGACGATGCCATTCACTAGTCCAAGGCGTTTCTTGAAATAGTGCCCGAGAATGACCAGGGATGGCTGGTACGCAAATGAGCAGCCACAGGCAAATAAGATTCCATAGGTGAAATATAGAGGTTCAATGGTGCTATATCAAAAGAAAAAAGAAAAAAAAAAAATCATTAGTGTTTTGTACAACGCTATGCTCACATTCACCTACCATATGCAATACAGTTTTTCAATGAATTGACATATTTACAGGAGTGATTTCAGAGTTTGTATGTAATATACTGTCAGCTTAATTCAGCAATTATTCCACTTTCTTCCACTGAAGATTTCACAGAATTCACTAAACAGGTAAAAAAAGTAAAATTATATTGAAGCATAATTACACCAAATAATCTGACTGAAAAACGTTTTAAAATTCCTTGTCAGGGTGAATTAGTAAAATAAAAGTTCAACCATTGCTATGTTTTTGGGGTTTTTTATTTTCCACAGAAAATTATATTGTTTTGATTTACACATTTCTTCACTGTGCTAGTGGTTCAAACATAATACTGAACACTCCTCATGAACCCAGAAAAATCAAGTATTTACACAACTTATTATGAAAATACAATAGCAAAAGTAGTGAACATTATTAATGATGAAAAATTAAACAAAAATACTGTCAAGTTTTGACAATGTAATACATTACTAGCAAATGATAGACTTCTTAGGTATTCATATTTTTTAGACAAACTATCCCCTTTTTATGAAATATTCTAAACGCAGTGTTTTGAAGAAATAGGAAAAAAATCATTCATAGAGAATGAAGCATTTCAGCTCCTATTTTCTATCACCTAACACCTGCTTTTAATGCAGTTCTATAAAATTATTTACCTTGCTAGCGAATATATTAACTGGGGTTTTTTAAAGGAGTATTAATGCTTCATGTCATGCTTTTCATCGTAGGCTGTTACCTGCAAGCATCTCTCTATACCAAAATACACTCTGCAAGCCTCCCGTGCTATTACAGAAATGCTTAGGAAATAGTATTTGCCTAACAAAGGTCTGACACCAGGAACACTGGTTTTGTGTACTATTGTGAAAAAGAATATTTACGTAACGATGTTGTTGCTTTCTACATTAAACTATCAAATTCCAAAACTTATTATACACAAGGTAAGCCAACAGAAACAACTTAAGGGGGAAAGACTGATTACCGTTGTCAACAGAAAATATCCAAGAAAAATAAGAACAGAAGTTCTAAAATGAGAGGAAGAACACAATATAGTAAGGACAGAGAACTACTTCTTCCATCTGTCGATTCATTCAAAGAGTTTGCAGCATAACATACATAATAAATATTTTCCTGCATTACAGATATTCTTACACTTCAGTTTCTTAAGAGATAGAATTTATATTAAAAATCAGTATGTAACAAAAGCAGTAAATCATATTTACATTTATCCACTGTACAATATTTTACTTTTAGAACATTGACTTTTATTATCTGACCTACACTCCTTCAATTAACTGATAAGATCATATGCATAAATCATTTCAGTGTAGGCAACATAATGAAACACCAAGAATGCACATTAACATGGCATGTACTCTAACAAGAACTAACCTCTTCTCTCAAAGTACTCCTCAAATTCTAAAACAAAATTCAAGTAAACTAAAAAAATTTTAAAGCCTTTACAAAATAACTTCCTTTTGCATGCCTCTTCTGTGCCCTTGTTCCATTGGATATCAGAGAAACACGAAGATGACAGAATTTTGTTCAAAGGAAGAAAACATATTTCCTTTATCAAGGGGTTTAATTTGCAGTAGACTGTTTTAGTATTCACCACACTTCTAGGAAGCAAGGAGGACGAAAGACTTTCTCAAGATGCATTCTTTTAGTTGTTAATTCACATGTGGTAACAAGCCTCTTAGAACATATCAGGAATTGGGTCTTTTTGTTTGTTTGCTTTAATAAAATCAGTTAAGCAAAATATTTGCACTTGGATTAACCAAAAAATAAAATAAAAATAAGAAACTTGCTCAAGTAATAAGAAAACAAAGCTTGTTTTTTCCCCATAATTGTAAGTTATTCCAAGAATAAATACAAATACTAGTCTCAGTAACTGAGACAAGACTATTTGTCTTCTATTCCTGTAAATTTGTGGCTATGTTTTCACATTAGGGGACTTATGTCCAAACTAGACATATTTGCTCAGGCACAGTGCCGCATGGTGTGGATATTCATCCATCCAGATCACAGCCAGCTCTCACTTATCTGGTTCAGAGCACAGGCATAAAAAAAATGTTTTCACAAGCCTGTCTGTATAGATTTGTTTTCATTTATGTAGGAAACTTCTGAATTTTGCTTTTGATTGTTCCTGTACTTACTCCATTAAGGATGGAAAAAAGCAGGTCAAGAACTAGAGATAATGATGGCTTATTTTCCTGCTATTTCTTACCCTATCTTCACTGACCAATTTCTACCGATTTCTAGAAGTGAGGAAATTTCCTGTTTCCTCATCTTCTACTGTGCACGTCCAACAAATCAGCCATTCTTGAACAACTTAGGATTTATTCTGCAAAGGCTACAGAAAAGTACAAAATGAAGTATAATCTGAACAGAAAAAAAACTCAGCTACTATTCATTTGTTTTCAGTAACGAGAATCACTGAGATTTTCTTAAAGCCAATAAACCCTAAGTATACCAAGGTTTTCACTGTCTTAGTGTTTGGCAATTGGACCAGTAAGAATAGAAGAAAAGAGAGAGGATACAGAAACAATGTTCATGCACCTGCTAAAACACAGCATACATGAAGAAAACATACAAGAAGCTTATCCAGGACAATGCTGTTGGTCTTCTAGCATTAGCCTTGCTGTTCATACATTTATACATAGTGGTCCCTGTTAAATAAGGAGTGCTGTTATGAGGTTACATTATATTTTTTAAATTACTTTTGAAGTTGAAGTACCACTTGGAGTTTCCACAAGTCATAATTTGAAAGACAAAAATGAAAACAAATAAAACAAGGTTTCTACTTTAACAGATAACACAAAGTATCACTGCTTACTTCATATTCTGTTAGTGGGACCACATAAACCTGACAAAATACTTTCAATGTAAAGAAGATAATTTTTTTACCTTACAAAAGAACTTGAAAGGAGTCCAACAAATCCTACTGCAGCTCCAATAACAGCTACTTTTCGACAACCAAACAGGTCTGTGAATATGCTGACTACTGGAGAACAGAAGAAGACCATGCCCATAGAAAGCGAGTTCACCCATGCTGCAGAATGGAAAAAGACCGCATTTTAGAATATCAAGTGATTTCAGCTTTCAGCTAGTCTTTGTTTTAGTTCAGCAACATAAAATTACAGATAAAAGTGAAACAGCTGGGTAACTATTTTAAAAATATTTAAATATATGGTAAAAATAAAAAGCCTGACCAGTTTACATAATCAACTAATTTAGACTTTACCAGCTCAATGAATGTAAACAGCTACAGAAGTTATTTTTACTTTTTTTCCTTTATTTTTTTTTTTTTTAAACACAAGTATTCCTCCAGTAAGTCACCTACTATTCAAGCTGATGACTAGGCCATTAAAGATAACTCAGGCTCCATATCCATTCTGACATCAATTAGCACATTTCATTTGATTTAATTCTAGACTTTAATGATTTTAAACAGCTAGGTTTGCTGAAGAAATAAACAAATTTTAACTTAATTACACAGATCTAGACCATACTTAACATTAATGAGTAAACTACCATCAATCAGCTTTCATACTATAATACATACATTAGGAATACAATAAAGAACTTGAGCTAGTACAATCATTTTCATATATGATGGGAAATTTTCACTACATCTGATACTACTCCAGCTTTACAGACATTGTTAAAACTGTACTTTGTTTATAAACAGGCCTTTAGATCATTAAGATTCAGTTCAGGTGAGTATACTGAAGTTTCAGCTAAAAGTGTGGTTTTTTTATTTCAAGCGTACAAACAATATCTTCAAATAAATTAGGTAAAAGATAATTTTATTCATTTAAAAGTCAGCTTGCTGCTTCACTTCATACAGGTGTTGAGAACCACATCATTTACCTGCTATCATCTAATCGTTCTTCCAAATATCGATACTGATATTACACCCAACAGTTGTCCCAAGGCATAAAGGTAAATCAAGATGCTGTAACACAATAGTTACAACAAATATATTCAAGTAGGTAAACAACCCCATCTATTTGGGGAAAAAAAAAGGTCTAAACAGGTAGCAGAAGAAAGCCGCTTATGCAAAATGCATTGGAAAAAATATCTTAAATTTTTTTAATTGTACAGATGATGAAAGAACTCTTTCAACCTGCAACAGATTTAAATCTGTGTAACTGGAATTTTGTTTAGAACATCTTTCCTAAAGACACAGTAAAAATATAGCTAGGTCAAATAAACTTAAGTGCCCTTACCACTGAATCACAATCATCTGGAAAAAATATATAACCAACAAACCTAATGAAGAATATTTGCAAATATATCTATCTACACCAAGACTTAGAAGTGGTGTTGTTAAAGCTCCAATGAGCCCTACGCATTGATAAAGACTTTGTTGTGCAAGACACTAAAGAAAACAGCAAAACAACCAACCAAACAAAAAAAATTGTTTCTTCAAAGAGTTTATAGTGTAAATGAAAGACAAAAGAGAACAGATGGTTAGAGAAAAACAGAAATGAGAGTACAAGAAATAAACCCTTTATGTTAGGGCAAACAATTATCTCAGTGAACCATGAACTAACTGTTTGGGGCGAGAGTGAGGGGGGGATGTTATTGAGCATGGGATAAACATAATGGAGTTTCAAGGCACAATTTGAAGAGTGAGGTACTTTTTTGGGTATGACTAACCCAGACAAGACAGCCCTGCCAGACTTGCACCTCTGCAGCAGAAACACGAGCTGCAGGAAGGGAAAGCAGGAAGCACTAGGAAGAACAAGGCCCCCGTGACACCGACTGAAAGGCAAAGACAAAATTATGAAAGGTCTGTCCTTTCTCTTCCTCTGCAGTCAAGGACGGCTCAAATGCACCTTGGATATGGCAAGAGTGACTTAGAGATCTGTCCCAAGTTACAGCCCAGATGGATCCTGATGTTGCAAGCTAACATTGTACGAACTACAATTCATAAGCAGGAGTCAGACTGAGAACAGCCAGTTGCAAAGCTTCTGAGAAGTCCAACTTCTACAAGACTCCTCATCTTTTTACTTATCTTTCCCAGAGTGAGCTACATAGAGACCCTCCACTTCTCTATTCAAAGAAAACTGCAAACACTAGGAGGTTGAATGTCCATAGCTTCCTGTCCTGTCCCCTCCACCCCTCCAATAAATGGCATCTCCACCACCATCAACAGTTCTCAGCAGCTTCGCATGACTTGTGGCGCAGCACTAAGAATCACAGACTACCTGTGCTACCTGGCACATATGCAAGGCTAAGAAAAAAGGCAGCTAAAACTTGAGAAGTGGGCATTGCAAGTCTCACTGGCACAAGATTCCCAGTGGCATGAAGCTACCAAGGAATGGTTGGTTGAACCTCCTGCCAGCCTTTCTGCCTAGGTATGAGAAGACAAAGGCAACTGTGGCACTCGACAAGCCCACCAGAGATTACTAGTTATGAGAATCCAATCTCACTTGGACAGGTATGTGCACGGAAACAAACAGGTAAGGAAACAGCAACCAAAACAAAGTTTAAGTAGCTTGCATAAAGTCAGTCTAAATTTCTTCTGAACCACAAACAGAGTTCAGCAGCTCTAATTTCCAGTTAGCACAGGCTGTGATTCAAGTAGCATTCTCTTTAGTGTAATCAAATAGTTTACAGTACTTTTTAATGGCTTATAATGCTCATAAAATAATTGGTATATAAAAGCCTGAATGAAAACATTCAGCTCAAATTACATTAAATTAACAACACGCTGACTTTGTCTCTTAATGCTTCCACGTACTAATGAAAGAAATATGCCTTTCTTATCACTCGATTCTCTCTTCTTGTTACAACAATTACAAGCAAAACCTAAAAGAGAAGAAAGGTTCCCACTGATTTTCAACGCAACAGAGAGTTAAAAGGAAGGACAACAGCCGCATCTCAAGCATTTCAGAACGGCACTGAGATTAAACTGCAGAAGTAGGACCCCGTGGTCTACCACTTACCTACCTAATGGAAACTGGAGCCCTTTAACTTACAACCTGAAGTTAATACGAGGCTCTTGGGTCCTACAGAAATGTAACTTCAAGAGATATTGGCATGTCTCGTATGAACAGCTTTATTATTTAATGAAAAGAATGTTATTGAAGTTTAACTTCACATGTACTCCAAGTTCAAGAAAATTTACTGTATTCACCCTCTGTGAAGAAATCTAGCACCAAAAAGAATTCAGATGTAAACAGAACAGCATATGTGGAAATAGTTAATTTCCTTAAAGTAAGTAATTCTTGCTGCAATGTTGATCCTATGAAGAAATTGATGGGTATAAAATATATAGATCAATAGATCCAAGTAATTTTTTGCTTTGCCTAAGTAAGTTTTCAAGTATTCTTACACTTTTTCTCTCAGCATGAAAAGAGGTACAATAAATTTTCTTCCACATTTTTAAAATAGGAATTACAACGGTCCCAAATAAGTAATAGGAAAAAGTACAAATGCAGCTTGTCAGGATAATGAGCGCTCTCTAGAGCAGTTATTACATATTAATTAAAACATTTCTCCTCCAGGCTGTTGGCTGCTTTCCTGATCACAAGCTGGCTATGGTCCAGAGCTGCTAACTCAGATACTAATACAGCACCTAATTGCTACATATAACTGCATTCATACATTAAACATTTTGATTGCCGTAGAAAAGCTATTCCTACTTTAAGGAATTCATCCTTCCTTGAGGCTCTGGAAGTTAAGAATTAGCTCCTCAAAACATGCAAGTGCAGAATAACAAATTCTTGAGCTTCCCTAGAATATGTAACAGAAATTATCCCTAAAATAAAAATATCAGACCAGAGAGCTTATTGGTAGCATCTACACTGAAAAGTCTGTTTCTCTACCATTGAAACACATAACAGATTACAAAACACCTCCTTAATTCTAACTGAAATTATTTCAAAATTTAAAAAAAGTCACAGCTACATGTTCTTTTCTTCTCAGTTCATACAAACGTATGTACTTCAGCTATAATCTGAGTATATATTCACTTATTTCTCTAATTGTGTCTCTGTTCAACTACGAAACTACACCAGCTACTCAACAAATATGCTGCTGTTTTACAATGAGATTTTAAAAGTCAGACATATTTTAAATAGTGTCTTTTGTCTTTGGCAATAGATATAGCCTCTAATGTCTAAGCATTTAGAAAATCATTCCCATTGTCACAGTTGGATTACATAATACATATTTATCTACCAAACTATGAATCAAGCTGTTAAATATTTTCGTTCACTCTTTAGACTTAAGCACTAGGGCTTATGAGACAACAGAAAAGAAAGCATTTATACCATATTGCATTGGAATGCTTTATCATGCATAAATTTAAATAAAGGCTACTCATCCATGCCATTCCTCTTTACAATCAAAATTTTTCTATGCATTATAAGAGTCTTATCAGTTTTATCCTCACAAGTCTCTTTCAAGTGGTTTGCTGAATTCAGTAATAACACCCTTCATTCTGTAATGAACTTCAAGAATTTTTTTAATATTTTCTCTTGAAGTCTTTCTGGTTGAGACAGGGGAAAAAACCTACTGTCTGAAAGACAAGTGATAGAGAAGAATATTTAAATTGAAGATTCAAAAAAAAACTAAAAAATATTTTGTTTCTGCAGCAAACCCAGACAGCAGTAAAATCACAGTTCACTGGATAGTTTGCACAACGATCTGTTTGGCACTACACATACTAAGAGAAGCAGAGACTGTGGAAAGTGAGAGCAAACTTTCTACATTCAACATAAGATTCTCACGAGCAAAGACCTATAGCTACATCGTTTTTAGGCACTTGGAAAATTCACTGGCCAACCATCCCCTAAATCAGCACCTCTGCTCACTGTCAGACATTCTTCCTAAAAATCTGTTCTCCCACCATCTCATTATGTAACTAGTACAGTAGTTCAGGCCGTACAATGCTGCTAACACTTAAGTACAAACTATAACGATGCTGGATAGTGAGAAATTCTTGCATTAACTCACAATGAACAGAAAGTACAGAATCAGGAGACAAACTGTTTCAGAGTCAACCTCTTGACTTAAGATGGAAATAATTCTCTCATTCACACACTGAAAGTGTGTGAAATCTTATTTTGGGGAAAGAACTCTACAAAGCAGATTTCTAAGAAATAAATTATTTTAAAGTGATTGTGTAACATAAACAATATGACGTAAGTTATATGAATGGCAGATGTTTAAAAATGTTTCATTGTCTCACACTGAAAAGGTTTGTGCTGAAGTAGCCTGTTACAATAAAATCATAATGCAGAGTTAATATAGCTGATTAAATAATGGCACTTAGTAACTTCTGAAAGCTCAATTTCAACAATATTTAGGAGGGTTTTCCTTGTATTTTATAAGAATACTTGGAAAAAAGGGAAGGACAATATTTACAGTATGAAAATATTCATGCTTGCATTCAGTTATTAGTTATGATTTATGCAAGAATAAGGAAGCCTGTACTCTCCCGGACGCAAACCATTAACAGCTGAGGTACTTTCCCGGGGTGTTTTTTTTTTTGTTTCTCCTACTAAACAAATTTGGACATTACTTTTTTTCAGTGTATTTATCACCATTCTGGCGATTTCTCCTCCATGAAATGCCATCCTCTCCTGCAACACTTATTTTCAGCATCTGCAACATCTTACAGCAAACTACTCCGAAACTCCACTATGGACTACATGAAGGACCTCCACTTCTGTTATGTCCATTTACATACAAGGATATTCCCTACAGCAAAGCACAAGATTGGATTCCATAAGAAGATTTGTTATGAGTGTAGCTTGGGAATTTGAGAGATCCTGTTTTGGAGAAAATAGAAGTGGTTTTTCAGTTATTTTTGGAGATAATTTGCTTGTCTCCAGCTAGTATTAATAATTCCTTGCCTGCATAATC